AGAAACTACGTAACGTAAATGGAGTACTTTCGTCTGAAATCGTCATATAATTAGTAAATTGACCCCTTGAAACTTAAATAATAAATAGTCACAATTTTTGTTTGTCGAAACAAATTTTTTGATCCATAAAACACCAAATATGTGTATACATATGTTATGTCTACTTATAAGATAGTAACAAATACTTTACCAAATATTTACTTTGTCAGAGATACAATATAAGCAATTACCACTGTTAGTACAGTCTAATTTTAAGAATGATGAACCTTTTGTTTAGTATGATATAGTTAATTAGATTTTAAATTTATTATAATTAAATTTTGTAGATTTGTAATATTTAATAGGTTTAGTGAAATAGGTCAAAGAGATAATGTGGGTTTCGAAGTGAAACAAAGTGGCTGTTTTATTTTTATTTTTAATCGATTATTCCTTTCTAAACATTTATATGTATATACTTATGTACAGTGTTCTACGCTACGAGATGTAGATATCTTTAAAATTTAAGCGCAACAGTAAACCTGTCTCTGCCTTTAAGCGTTTTATATGCAAGATTGCAGTCTATTGCAGCTTTTTAGACGGCAAACCGCCCACTTGCTATCCAGAACAAGTACCTGGTACCTCCGTGCAACAACCTTTATTTATTTATTAAAGATTAAAACTCATATAACTGCTAGTTTCTGCACAAGCGAAAATAAAATTAAAACTGTACAGCAGTTTCTGTGAAACACAACATGATAGTTTATCGATAACTGTATACACATCAGATACATAACATTGATGATAAGGAAGATTAATATTGGTTGTATGTAAATTTTTCTACGATCTTGGATCATTTAGACAAATGTCAAGACAATTATATCTCACAAATAATCATTAGTACCTCTTTTGTCTTTATTTCGTCCGTCTGATCTCTATCTCCCCAACCGTTTTCCACTTATTCCTTATTTGCATTAGTATCTAATGAAAATCAAACGCCCCAAAAATTATTTTAAGAACGATTAAGTTTTAAGTTGGAGATTGGGTGTTACATTCCCACCAGCCAGTAATGTTGGTGGGCGGGCAGTACCTCCGTACTATGCCGGAGGTAGGGCGGAAGGCTTTCTTCAGTCTCCTTTCAGGAATCGTGGGAATGGATGGGTGGTGGTTCGGGTGAGAAAGATGAGACGGACGGAATGAAGGCAGAAGAGAATGAAATATTATCTGTGGAATATTACTCCTTCAGCATTTGCCTAAGTGATTCAAGGAAATCATAGAAAAACTTGACCCGAGGCAGACGGACCCAGAATCGAACCAGCGTCGTCCCGAATGCTAAACAATGATCTAAACCTTTAGGCCATGTCGTTCGAAAAAGCTTCTAAAGAACGAGTTTATGTAATATTCGAAGCCAAGCGGTGTATCGCCATCTTGCGGGTATTTATTGCTTTTGAAGCATTTTAAGCGTTATATGAGGTCTTGTATACCAAAATATTTCAACTTGTTTGACTAAAGCGACGGCGCAGCTTTAAATATGTCAGAAAATTATCGAAACTACCATAAAACTTGCATATTAGCTTAGAATTCGAAATAACACCAGCTCTATTTCGAGTCCGTTTTCTCTCATTAAAGGTTTTTCTGCGGTTTCCTCTGATCATTTTGGAAAAGATGGAGCATAAGTAACAATCCACAGATAATCCTTCATTTCTCATCTGATTTCATTTTACTTGTCTCATTTGGCTCTCTCTAATTATTACACGCTCATTCCCACAATACCAGTAAGTAGCTGGTTAATATGAAACAGCAAAACTTTTAAAAAAATTAAAATTTCATTTTGTGGAATGGAATAATACCTAAATATCTTTAGTTGATTATGCTTTGCTTAACTGTGTATAATTTGTCTGCTTCAGTTTTTATTAGAAAGTTTTGCAACAATAAAATTCTTTCTACCATATTCAAATTTTTGAAGTTTAAATTGCCTTTTTATATTTATATTGTACTTTTCTTCTTTCTATGAAATAGGCAGTATGAAATATTTTAAATATACTGGCGGTTTTAGAAATTTCAGCCGGCGTAAGGATGTTCCTTTCCGAACCTTTTGTTGATCGTAACTTTGTGGTACTTTAGTTTGTCCAGCACTCTAATTAGTCTCGCGCCAACAACAAGCCATCTGGACCATGTACGTGACCAGTCCAAAACTGTAGAAAACGAGCATCAAAGCGTAATAAATATCCTGAATTTATCGCGTTTCGGCCACCCGGTAACAAACGAGTACGCCACGTAATTACTAACCGCTGAAAATATGGCACGTTGCACGCTGAGCATGGATGAGATTGTCATTTTAAAATTTACGCCAAATTCGTGTGGGTTGTATGGACACAGGGCGAAAAATACGCCTATGACAAAATGAATAACGAGCTTAACTAAAATGATCGGAAAACTACGTGATCGATAATGATATCAAACAATTATGCTTTCATGTGGTTGTTCAGTATGTCAAGAATAATTGGTAGTTCATCATTTTAAAATAATGGTTGCAAGCTGTATACAATTGTTAAATATTTTTCGTTCATTTTCTCGACTGATCATTGTAAAATTGCAATATTTATTGACATGAACGTAGCTGTATGGAAAAAAAGAAAGATCAAATGGCTTGGAGGTAAATGTTGTAGGTTTGAAACCGCCAAGTAAAACAGAAAGTACTTTATATTCATTGTTTTTGTGTTTCAATATTCTTCTATCAAATTAATTTTGGGCTTACTCCATCTAATTTAATCAAATATAGTTCCGGTCTTAGTCTTGGGCTGAGTCTTGCGTGTTAAGTCTTGGTTTTGCTTATTTAATCTGATCCTTACGTTTTTTTAAATAATTCTAAGCATAAATTTTTGTATTTACCGACACAATAATTGTCTTAAATACTGCAATTTTCTGTCTCGAGCAGCTTGTCATGACTTTTAAAGGATAAAGTGTAGATAGTTGTGGGAGTTATGAGAATTCGAGAACTTACCCTTATTGGCGAAAAAAGTACTCAAAGAAGTAAAAATATCAAAAGAAAGATTAGTTTGTTTCTATATTTCAGCTATGTGTTATCCAGACATAGAAACAAAGAACAATTAATCGTAGGACATTCTTGTAAATCCCTTTCTTCAAACAGTGGTAAAGTTCCTTTTCTTAATATTTAGTATTAAAATCTAGTAAAGCAAATTTAAAATTTCAAATAAAAAAAATGTTTTGTTTTTGCAATAATTTTTCATTTAGTCTTGTATATTCGGACTTGGTCATGTTCGTTCGGTTGGTGTTGATCTTGGTCTTGCTAGTATAACTACAGTCTTGGTCTTGGTCTGGCATTTTCGAAAGACCAAGACCGAAACTATAAGCCTAAAACCAATTTTGCTCATCATTAGACCCAATCGGTGCTTCTATGTAAGGAGAAGCATTTCCGTTTATCGGGTATTATCCTTTCAGAATTATGTTTGCCAACAGGAATGCTAAAGTTTTGTTGGAAAGCGTTGCAACAGAATTAATTAATAGTAGATTCTAATTAAGTTTTTTTTACTAATGTGTGCTATACACTTAATAATGAAATACATGATGCTGATGGTTTTGGAGTGTTTACTAAGAGACGCAATAACGAATTATTTGACACTTGGGCTTTTGTCCCGTGATGCTACTGTATGACTGTTACGTATGTCACATTTGCGGATGTATCACATTTTAATATAAACTACTTGATTATGCGAGATACATAAAGATATTGTGAATAATACATATGGGGAAGCATTTTGAGTATTTCGAGTTTTATTACTGTTTTGCTTTTGACATAATTCTACAGTTAGAACGAGAGACACTACCTGTAGGCTGCTTTTTATTTTCTAAAATATGCATCTCATGTTTTATTTTGAAACATAATTTTATGCGGAACAAGCCCGTCTCTTTGTGTAAGATATTTATTGCTGGTAGCAGCTGTGGCGTTTTATGAGGGATTAAATATTAATAGTGCTCTAAGGGGAAGAAAAATCGGTACATTAAGCGATTTTCCAGTGTTTTTGGCTGGAACGAAATATTATATTAGCTTTGTTATTAATGTGAGTGATATTTAAAGAATCCTTCGGGATCAAGAAGATATTGGGCTATTTGACTTTTACTTTCTGTTTTTTTTTTATATCGCTTGTTGAAGAATTTAATGAATTGATTACCGGTAAAAATTATGTTATTTTTATGGAATAGAAACTAAATGACAAAGCATCATCCATTGAAATTTATTTAGTGAAATTTTAATACAATAGCTGAGCTTTCAATCGCTCGTGATATTAATGGTAGTTATTTTATTTTACATAGCAAATGTCCCTGTACTTAATTGAACTAATGAAATAATACAAAGGACCTCTGAAGAAGCTCGTCACTCATGCTACCAAAACGTTAGGAAGCACCCGAACAGGAATATACAAAGGGCCCAAGAATGGCTCATTACTGGCTGCCCTTCTTGCAATACTGGGCCAATAACGCGAACCATTACTGGGCCAGTGAATTATTTACTCTGGATGATAACTTCGGGCAATTATTGGCAGCCAATAATATTTAAAAATTACTGGCCCAGCGATGGCAGTTGATAAAACCAATAATCGCCCATGAATAAATATCTCGACTAGAATTTTGAGGGGGGTGCAGGGAGGGTCCCTAAGGGGTAGCCACACTCTACTTATGGGCTCCATGAGGTTACCCCTTAGGGCAAGAAAGGTGTATATAATACCGGGAAAAATTATTGCTATCCCATTAAGAATTTTTGGAAAAATGAACTTTATTATTAATGAAAAGATACAATATATACATATGTCACTTATTTGTCAAATTTGTTTGCTCTTAAGTAAGATTGTGTTATTGGGCTGTTTTGTAGCCAATAATAATTTAAATTGCAATCGTGTCTAGTTTCAGCTGTCTTACAATAACAATATCAGGAAGTACGCTTGTCGGTTCGTTGCAAATCTAAAAGATTTCATTGAAACGACGACNAAAAAAAATAAACACCATATTTAATTATTATTCTGGCTGCTTATTGTATTAGATTTGAGTTAAATTAAATACTCTTAAATCGGGCATCCATCAAACGGTTTAGTTGTTCTGTAAATTAATAGCGTAGCATTACCTATTTTACAAATATTAATAATCAAGATTGAATTATTCAAACTTTTTCTAATACCTACCAACTTGAGCACCTTCCTATTGTTTAGTTTTATATTTACTCGTCGACGGATGTCAATGAATTTAAATTTTTATGTAATTTTTCTTGAAGAGTCAGTGTTATTGAATTATTTAATCAGATCCACTAGATGAAGATATTCGAGACTTTCTTATGATTTTTTTGTTATTAATTTTCTTTTTCTTTTTCGTTGTTGCAAGGTTACAACTTTCGTCATCTGAGGTGAATGAATGGTTACTATCTTCTTCGTCTAAAAACGAAAACAGTATACAAAAACACTTTTAGCGTACTTACCATCTGTTTTTGTTGCACTTTTGGAAGTTAATTTCACTGAACTTTTAAGTGGTTGTTTTCCCTGGTTGATTTATTTTCAAATGACTTTTGTGATGCAGTTCATGATCTATAAATTTGAAATTTTTAACGGTTTATAAACAATTAGAATAATAAAATATGTTCATTATATACAGAAAATATCGAGACGTCTTTTCTTCTCAGTGTATATAGATAAGATTTATTAATGGTAAATTTGATGGTAATTTTACTTACCCTTATTTACAATCATATTCGAACTTAAATCAATGTTAATTTCGTTCAACGCTTGTAACAATTCTTGTCTAAATGTTTTCCTAAAAAGGTTCACATCATCAGCAGCCTTCGATTATGCTTGTCTCCTCGCTTTGTGTAGAATAAGCAAATATTCCAACTAACATTCATTAGCTTCTTGATATGTTCCTACACATTAAACCAATGCGCGAAGGCACTAGGTCGATCTCTTTTTTTTTTTTCACAAGTCTACCCATATTTGTAAACCGCAACCGTTTTTAATGCGCTATTGTGAATATTCATGGGGGTGAATTTTTTACAACAGTTATTACATTAAAAAGATTACTATCACCTTGTTACTGATGTAAGTTGAACTGAACTGTGAGCTCAGAAATTGAAATTAAACTAATAATCTTATGTATACTAATAATAATAATTTTTAATGCTGGGTTGCTGGGCTAGACAGAAAGTTATAGTGTTCAACATCCGTTGAAAAATATAAACATAAACAATGCATTTCACAGAACAGAGTAGATTAAAAACGTATGTTAGATAAGGTAACAGGTATGGTGTTTAAAATCGGCAAAACAAAAAACAAATTGAAAAACAAAAAATGCTCACAATATTCACTTTTACACATGTAGCAACGGTATAATATATTATTTTAATCAACTTCTATGATTTTACGGGTAGCGATATTTTCATTGTTTGCAGAAACTATACATTTCTTAATATTTTTATTATTATAAGTTTTTTCATTTTACCGAGGGTATTTTCAAACGGATTTGCCTCATCGAGCCCCCATAAGGTAGATTTAATTGTAAGTTAATATATGTTATAGGTTTACCCCTTACGGCCCATATAAAAAACCCATAAAGAAATCCTCATTTTAGTATCACTACTTTTTTTGGTGGGATTTTCAAGAGGAATCTACAGGGAAACCCCTGTCTCGGCATGCCCCTAATTAGCCACATGATTTTTACAAAAGACTCGTTTGGATTATTTACTTTTTATATTATTGCTTAAAGTGAAAGAAACTAAGAATTTAATGGATATACAACGATTAAAAAAAATATACAACGATTAAAAAAAATATAAAAGTATGACTCAAAGACTTGCGAGTTCATTCATTCCTCTATAAAGAAAAAATAACATTTGTGCTAGTGACGCCAGGACTGGCCGTCTATCGGTAACCTGAGAATGTACTCATGAAAAAGAATCAATTTTTAACCAACTGTTTACCAATCATTGGCCAGCGAATGGAAATTATTTAACGGCCATTTAATGTTTGCCACATATCGGCTGATTTCTGGCCTTATTGTAAGCATCGGCGAGCCCTGTTCGGGCAACTTCAACGCACGACGGTCTTTAGACCCGAACTAGAACAAAAAGAACTTGGGTGTTTCATTCCCACCACCCACTAATGCTGGTGGCCGAGCAGTCCCTCCGGACTACGCCGGAAGGTAGGACGGAAGGCCCTCTTCAGCCTCCTTTCAGGAATTGTGGGAATGGGTGGGTGGTGGTTCGAGTGAGAAAGATGAGACGGACGAAATGAATTCAGAAGAGAATGAAAGACTATCTGTGGAATATTACTGTCCTAGCATTTGCCTAAGTGATCCAAAGAAACCACAGAAAAACTTGGACCAAGGCAGACGGACCCGGAATCGAACCGGCGTCCTTCCGAATGCTAAGCATTGATCTAAACCTTTAGGCCATACCGTTCAGTAAATGGGAACAGCATCAGTTCTCCTACTGACCGCCAAAGCCTTTACCAATAAATTATTTAATTAATCGTTCAAATTACTGACCATTAACATCCTGACAATGGGCAAGTCGATCTTGAAAGTCTCTTAATACTTTAGTTAAGGTTTGTGGGTGGATTTGTTATATTGCAGCTCTAATTCTGTTCTTCAATTATTCAATATTTTCCGGTTTATTGAAGTAGATTTTAGATTTCAGATAGATAAAAATCTAGTAGGGTCAGGTCTCGAGACCTATCTGGCCATTCAGTAACGCCTTTTCTTCCGATTCGTCTATTTGTGGAAAATATTGTAAAGGTACCTAATGTCGTAATATTCGCGAATAGTGTGGGGGTGCTCCATCCTGTTGGAACTATACCGAATCTGCTGGTATATTTGGGTTCTCAGCATTTGGGTAAAGCACAGTTAATCTGGTTAAGTAATTTTATATAATTGATCTAAGTAGGTACATGAAACATACATAGTTAAAATTAGATGCAGAATTTTTTCCATTTGAAAAAATAAAGTAGGTGATAGTCGCTTATTTTTAAGCCATCCTGTATACATTAATTTATCATGAAAAAATCTGCAGCCAAAAATTAAGATCGACGTGTCGGGGCATTTTTTTCTTAATTTTAATTAAATTTGTTCCATACCACACGTCCTCACTGTATTATATTTATAGTTGGTGTATTAATCACAAAAGCTGTTTAAACAGTCTTTTAAAATAACAATATTTCTGTATTTTAAACTTAATTTATAAATTGTCGTAAAAGAATGTGTATTTTTGGCGAGACTACGGGTCTGATGTCGAAAAAAATTTCACAAGAAGTTTCTGGAAATTATCAGGGATATTTAGAAACTGTATAAATAAAATACGTAATGTCGGTGTGGGTTTAAGGAAAAAAATTTTATTGAAAAGATTCCGTCTCATAATACATAAGGGGAAAATACAGAAAATACGATTAATAATATACTTCGCGGTGACTGGGGAACTAATAAGTTACTAAATATACTAAAATGCCGATGTTTAATACTGTATGTGTTATTGAAGTTGGAAACAGGAAAAATTGTATTTTTTTTTACTTTGCAAGAATGCGTCAACTACATAGAAAATGACGTTTTTTGAATAAATGGTAAACTTTGCCAAAGGGTCCAAACTCTTTCAGGTCCAATCATCACGAACAACCCTGTACGATTGCATACACATAATATGTATCTGCATATATACATATAAATTTGCTTAGGATTTAACATTCCTAATTCTATAGCTTAACGGCGTGGCGGTTTGTATAATTCTTCCTGACAACGTGAATTATCTTGTTGAGCCTTCTGCTAATGTAGGTACCAAAATTCTAAAATCCATTTCATTTGCATAAAATCATGAACATTTTTATTTAAGAACGAAAATGAATGTTTATTTACACGGCAAACACTTAATCCAATAGAATTCGTTTCTGTTATTATCATAAATTTCTGTTGCGCGTTTAGTTGAAAATATTATTCTTCAACGAGTTTTTCTATAAATCGAGATCAATATAAAATTGCGGAATAAAACGGGTTTAAAAATATAGTAAGTTCCTAGAGGAGGCTTGTAGATACTTATTAAATAGTTAGATATATTTTCTGCTCACTAATACGCAATTGAAATAAGTTGAAATACCGTTTTAAAAACAAGTCGTAATACCGGAGATACAAGACGTTTGAGGAATACTAAACTATCTATTAGTACAACATAATTCTTGACATACTTACGTGAACTAATCTAAATGTATTTTACTTGTAAATTATTTATTTTCTGATTTCTATTTGAATTGTTTTCTTATTCTGTTGCAAGATGGCAGCGGTGATCTACAAAATGTTTGATAGCATTAATAATTTTATAATATGCTGAAGTAATGTTCATTACAAAAGGTTGTGTATTTATATACAACGATTAAAAAAAATATACAACGATTAAAAAAAATATAAAAGTATGACTCAAAGACTTGCGAGTTCATTCATTCCTCTATAAAGAAAAAATAACATTTGTGCTAGTGACGCCAGGACTGGCCGTCTATCGGTAACCTGAGAATGTACTCATGAAAAAGAATCAATTTTTAACCAACTGTTTACCAATCATTGGCCAGCGAATGGAAATTATTTAACGGCCATTTAATGTTTGCCACATATCGGCTGATTTCTGGCCTTATTGTAAGCATCGGCGAGCCCTGTTCGGGCAACTTCAACGCACGACGGTCTTTAGACCCGAACTAGAACAAAAAGAACTTGGGTGTTTCATTCCCACCACCCACTAATGCTGGTGGCCGAGCAGTCCCTCCGGACTACGCCGGAAGGTAGGACGGAAGGCCCTCTTCAGCCTCCTTTCAGGAATTGTGGGAATGGGTGGGTGGTGGTTCGAGTGAGAAAGATGAGACGGACGAAATGAATTCAGAAGAGAATGAAAGACTATCTGTGGAATATTACTGTCCTAGCATTTGCCTAAGTGATCCAAAGAAACCACAGAAAAACTTGGACCAAGGCAGACGGACCCGGAATCGAACCGGCGTCCTTCCGAATGCTAAGCATTGATCTAAACCTTTAGGCCATACCGTTCAGTAAATGGGAACAGCATCAGTTCTCCTACTGACCGCCAAAGCCTTTACCAATAAATTATTTAATTAATCGTTCAAATTACTGACCATTAACATCCTGACAATGGGCAAGTCGATCTTGAAAGTCTCTTAATACTTTAGTTAAGGTTTGTGGGTGGATTTGTTATATTGCAGCTCTAATTCTGTTCTTCAATTATTCAATATTTTCCGGTTTATTGAAGTAGATTTTAGATTTCAGATAGATAAAAATCTAGTAGGGTCAGGTCTCGAGACCTATCTGGCCATTCAGTAACGCCTTTTCTTCCGATTCGTCTATTTGTGGAAAATATTGTAAAGGTACCTAATGTCGTAATATTCGCGAATAGTGTGGGGGTGCTCCATCCTGTTGGAACTATACCGAATCTGCTGGTATATTTGGGTTCTCAGCATTTGGGTAAAGCACAGTTAATCTGGTTAAGTAATTTTATATAATTGATCTAAGTAGGTACATGAAACATACATAGTTAAAATTAGATGCAGAATTTTTTCCATTTGAAAAAATAAAGTAGGTGATAGTCGCTTATTTTTAAGCCATCCTGTATACATTAATTTATCATGAAAAAATCTGCAGCCAAAAATTAAGATCGACGTGTCGGGGCATTTTTTTCTTAATTTTAATTAAATTTGTTCCATACCACACGTCCTCACTGTATTATATTTATAGTTGGTGTATTAATCACAAAAGCTGTTTAAACAGTCTTTTAAAATAACAATATTTCTGTATTTTAAACTTAATTTATAAATTGTCGTAAAAGAATGTGTATTTTTGGCGAGACTACGGGTCTGATGTCGAAAAAAATTTCACGAGAAGTTTCTGGAAATTATCAGGGATATTTAGAAACTGTATAAATAAAATACGTAATGTCGGTGTGGGTTTAAGGAAAAAAATTTTATTGAAAAGATTCCGTCTCATAATACATAAGGGGAAAATACAGAAAATACGATTAATAATATACNAATAACGTACACAATTTCCCCATAGTAAAAAAGATACGGTAATTAATGCTTAAGCGAACTGTCCAAACTACAGGTTTTGGGCTTTTATGGTTTAGATGCTATTTGGT